TATTCACTAATAATCTAACATTCGTATCTTGGAATTTACTACCTTCGAGGCAAGCTATGTCATCCATGCAGACGGGTCTTTGCGGCTAAAGACCGGACCAGCTTTGGTCTAGAAATCTTAGCCGTTCAAAATGTTGCTTCTTACCGATCTCTCCAAGTCCCATAATAGTGCTTGATATGGCTGCATACGCACCAATCTCAGCCCCACCAGTCTCTTTGTACTCATCTAAGTTAGGCATGTGATCTGCTCGTGCCCTTTTGATAAGCTTATCAGCCTCTAAGCTTTGTACGCACGTTGTATCTTTTTGTTTTTAGTTTTAAAATCGAAATTCGTTTACTCAAAAATATATTATATCCTGTACTGAAAACTATTTATATTGTATTGTTGTCCATTGTTTTGTTCATCGAAGATAAAAGCAAAATGAAAGAAACCCATGTGAATCATGTACACGTACTGTCATCATGACCACATTTCTTAAAAGCCTTAATAGGTTCTAATTAGTAAAGTTGTAAGTAGAACATATTTGATTTATCCATTTTACACCATGTTTGGTGATTAAATTTTAAAATGTATGTTTTCACATATAAATAACAGATGGATTTTTTTTCTTTTTGTGTGGAAAATTTAATATGCTAGATGCGGAATCATGTCTTAGTTGTACACGGCAGATTACAATGGTCACTAAAACATTATCTTCTGTGAATCATACATTTTTCATTTGTAAACTGTGATATTTAAGATATAGGTTTGTTCAATTTTAAATTTTCTTGTTTAATCAAACAATAATTACAATTTTGTATATGTATAATTAGGAGTGTAAACCATGTTGTGATGCAGATTTCATGCTTTGTCCTTAGATATTGAGGGTGGCATGTCTGTCTTCATAAAACAATTAATTATGCAAAATAAAATAATCTACCGTCACTCTAATTTCTTTCAACCAAACAGCAAATCATGGGGACATTTTTCATTTGTGTGTTGTATAGGTGTTTAATAATCAAAATTTCTTAAACCTAGATAATGACGCGTTGTTTATAAAACTGTCTGAATAATTCCAGCAGATAGAACGAATTAATCTCCTTGTCCACTCTATTTTCAAGACCGGATAAATCATCTGTTGTATACCAAATATGTTCTATGTAAAAAAAGTCAGTAATTATCTTTAGCAATTTTTTTTTTTTCAATCCTCAAATATATAACTGATAAATAACAGTTGTCTACGAATAAAATTAGTCTGCATGTCCGTTACCACCATCTAAAAATCTAAATTCCTAGAAAAACTCGGATAAAAATAAAACAAAATATGTATACCTAATAAAATTAGAAATAAAACAGACTAATACACCTTATAATATAAGATAAGTGGCGTATATGCTAATAGTACCTTACAGATCACAATGGCGGGTCCCATCCTCTATATTTGCCAACTGTAATTACAGTGTAATCGCCAGCTGGCACATTACGAAATTACATATGTACCCTTCTCATTCTTTCATCTCTGGCTTGTCTTATTTTTGTCCTGAAACCGGTTTTGGAAGAAAACCGGAAAGTCAATTTGACAACTATACAGAACTCCGGTTATTGATTTGTGATTTTATGAAACCTATTCCCGGTTTACTCTGGTGAACCGAACTTTCCCTTTAGCAAACAGAATCGGTTCTGGCGCCAACGAGGAAAAGGTAGACAATGACAGAAAAAGAAAAGGGCAGTTACGTAATTTAAATGAAAACCAAAGGGTAATTAGAAGATAATCCCTTCTATAATACGAGGGAAGGCTTGTTAAAAATCAAACAAAACAAAAAAAAGAAGCAATTTAGTTGGAGAATTAAGAAGAACAACGAAGAAGATCCCTCAAGAAATCATCATCTCAAGTAAGTTTTATCATCATTCATCAAAAACTCACAACAGACACCAATTAAAATTAAAATAAATATACGTTCTTGATTCGTACATGCAAACATGTTCGTTTCCGATCATGTAGAGGTGAAAAAGATGCGATTTTGTTTTTCAATCATCTCGTTATTGTGTTTTTTTTTTTCAATATCTCGTTATTGTGTTTGTCTGATATCAATATAATTTGTTATAATCTATAGTTTGTATACGTAGACATATATTTATAGGCGTATAATTTATACAAAAAAGTTAATTACATATCGTTTAGGATATAGCTTAGTGTTCCTAGTTTGATAAGGATTATTTCCTAAATTACATATCGTTTAGGATTTAGCAGAAAAAAGTTAATTACATATCGTGTAGGATTTAGCAAAAAAAAAAAAACAATTTCCTAAATTGTAGGAATTCAATTTCTATAAGGAATAGCTAAACACTTGTCTAAATACACATGCTTGTGTATCAATATAATCAAAGCCAGTTCCATATCTAATTCTACAAAGCAAAAGATTGGTATTTGGGTTTGTTTGACAGTTTCTTGATATTCTAGCTAGACCGTATAAAAAAAATGGTTAATATATATTGTTAAATTGTTATAACCTATAGTTTGTATAGTTAGATGTATATGAATTAGATGATCTTGTTTCGATCTTTATCATTGATGTTAAGAGTTAAGATCTTTGAGGATCTATTGTTTTCTGCATGTTCATGTAACCTAACAAAGAATCGGATTTGATTAATTGATTGATGACACAAAACGGTAAATAATACCGAAATAGTTAGAAGAAACAAGCAATAGCGGTAAAAAAAGACTTTCTAATAATTTTCTGTTTTTGGTTGTAGGTTAAATAAAAGAAAGATGGGTTACTGGAAATCAAAGGTTGTTCCAACGATGAAGAAATTGTTCGAGAAGAAGAAGGCTCCGGTGGAAGAGAAGCCACGAGAGGTGGTGGAGGAGGTTGTCAAAACCGAAGAACCAGCCAAAGTGGAAGAAACCAAACCGGTGGAAGTTACAACCGGCGAGAAAGAGATTGAAATAGTTGAAGAGAAGAAAGAAGAGGTTACACCGGCTCCGGTTCCGGTCCCGGCTGCTATGGAGGAGAAGAAGCCAGCCGTGGAAGAGGAGAAGAAGGCCCCTGTCGAGGAGAAGAAGCCAGCCGTGGAAGAGAAGAAACCAGCCGTGGAAGAAGTGAAGAAAGACGTTGTTACCGCAGCGCCGGTGGCTGAAACTCCATCGACCAAGGCCCCGGTAACTTCTCCGGCGGTTGAGTCGGCCAAGGCTCCGGAAACACCTAAGGCTTGAGTTTTCAACCTTCTTGATGGGTACTATTCTTTTTCAACAAGTAAGAAAAAAAAATGGAAGGAAAGAAAAAGTAATTTTTCTTCTCATCGTTTTTTTTTTCTTTCTTTTAATTGGGTTTGTCTTGTGTTGATAAAAACTTTTTTTGTTGTTTTTAAGAATGTGTTTAATTTCTATATTAATCATCCAATGTGAGTTTTCTATATACATTAATTTGCTTGTTTCGATCACATGTTTTATCCAATTCAAATTTGTCTTCTCATATTCACTATATTTTCCATTATAAATTTTCGTTCTGATAATAGTGTTTATACATTGATGTAAGGTTTAACTCACACCAGAAAAGGTAAATTTACTACTATATATTAATTTTAAGTAAACTCATCAGCTATATATATTAATTGATATTAGTGTCGTCTGATATCTATATATAAAAGCACATATAGAATGTAAATTCTCTAGTATAAATTATAATTACGAAAAGTGGCAACAAACATGACATCTTCAGATTATTTCATTATTTAATGTAACATATTTATGTTAAATTGTTATGTTTCATACGTGCAAGCAAGAAAGAAAATGTAATTAAAGATCAGAGATTGAGGAAGCACATATTACAGGCTATCAAATTATTTTATTTTTAATCAAATCATGACGTGGTACGCAACATTTGTTTCCATTGAAATTTCGTTTCTCTTTAACACATTAGTTGCGTAATCTTCCACGATAACATTATAAGGAAATAATATAATTTTCAATAATTGTTGGATTCGAACTTATCTTAATTAAGTGTATTTATGAGTTCAAAGGTCATTGTTTTGACTATTGACCAATTCATTTCCATTTTCATTTCAAGAGACCAAGATAAACCGAGAACACATGTACATAACTGGATATGCAAAACCGATTTAAATCAAAACCACCACTTTAATTCTTTGTTCAAAATAATACAATCATATTAATTTATATTTGAATCTTAATATACCCTCGTTATCATTGACAAATCTTTCTGGACACCTTTTTGAGCAATTTCTTATTAATTTCAAGAGATACAAACGAATTGTTGCAAATTAGATACACAAGAGTTTTATGAAAAAGTAAGAGAACATTATGAAAATTCTTAATTCTCCAAACTGTTGATCTTATTTTCTGTATATATGGAAAAATACACATTTCATTCAAGTGTATCTGTTTGTATTTTTTTCTACAAAACAAAGTTTTAAACTAATAAACAAACTAAACCATATATATACGTAAAATCACATCACAATAAATAAGTAAAATCCCATTGTTTCCATGTGAAACCTGAGTTTTTTTTTATGTCAAATTGAGGCGGCAATATTGTTTCGGCAACTACAATAATTTCGTAGGAGATGATTTTTGTAGTTTATCAAACTCGAGAATAGTGATTAGAAGCGGCATTTTTTTTTACTGTTTGCCTTGAAGATGCTCTCGTGCCGCCGGTAATGGAGTGGTTCATTGAAGTGGTCTTGATTTTGTGTTTGCCTTTTGAGAAGTTGTAGGCACTGATAACTACAAAATTTGAAGACTAGTTTCAGGTGGGGATTGTTCATGACAACAACACAAATTTACGAACTTAGTTGTTTGGAATCGGTGTTTCTTTATTGCGAATCAACTGAAATATGTTTCTTTCAATACATGACAGACCAACAAATAATTGGAAAAAAGTACCAATAATTGGACTGCGTCTTACTAGGCCGAATATCAAAGCAGTTCAGGACTAATACGTAAAAAAAGAAGAAAACATTTGGTTATAAATCAAAGACTAGAGAAAGTTCAAGGAGCTATAACAAAATCGCCACAATAACAGAACCTTACACAAGAAATTTATCTTTCCACTCAACAATGTGAAAGTCTGAAACGAAGTAAATTTGCAATCATGTTCACTGGGCCTTTATGGGCCGAATTCGAAACAGCCCGTGGTTTACATAGATCGAAGCTTAAACAAAGTCCAAGGACTGAAGAAGCAATAT